ACGCACCAACGCACGCACAGGCACACGCACACGCACACGCACACGAGCACGCGCACGCAAGCGCACACAACACGCACACGCACACGCACACGCGCACATGTTTCGCTTCGGCGGCTGGGCAGAGGTTATTGCTCCGGCGATTGCGCATCAGTGGGGCGTGCTAGATGCACATTGGGCCGCGGTGCACGGGGGAAGAGGAAGGAAGCCCGGAGCAGGCGGGAAGAGGGGAAGGCGGGCCCACTCAGGCAAGTCCCAGCGGCGGCGGGGCGGGCGCTGGGGGGGGGAGCCAGCCGCGGCGCCAGGCAGCAGCTGGGGGGGAAAGCAGCCCGAAGGCGGCCGGGCGGAGCCCCAGTGGGGGGAAAGCAAGACCAACGAATAGGCAAGTACGGAGACCTCCAGACCTGGCGGGTGCCAGATCACCCGGAAGGCAACACCAGATGGGGGCTGACCATGAGTAGCAGCCCACGGCTGCGCGGAGAGATTGACATGTCACGTGACTGAGAGCTGAAACGCCGAGATCTGGTGACTTGCGAGAGATCTGCTGACCTGCGAGGCGCGGAAGGGGGAGCGGCCAGGGTGCCCAAAGCGGGGGACCGCGGGGGAGCAGCGAGCGAGCAGGCCCACTGGCAGAGCTGCCAAGGGATCCGCGTGCTGGCTTGAAAACCAGGCCAACGGGCGGGGCCGACAGGCCCGGGTGGGGGCCGGCAGGCCAACCCACGGTCAAGGATATACCGTTTCCTGCTCCGTCCCCACACGGGGGGGCCGCGGCATGCGGCCGGGAGGTGTCGGCAGAAAGCTGCGGGGGACACCGAATGGGTGCACCGATGCTAAGTGATGGAACCGTGCACGCAGCCAGGGGCGCGTTCCGTACCGAAAGCGACCCAGCGCGCCGAGGGCCGGCTGCAGCCTGAATGGCCGAGCCGTATCGGCGGGGGTCCTTGGTGCCCCCACCGCGCAGAGTACAAAACTTGGTACAATGCCTGGCCCAGGCCGCACTTGGTTCACCGCCTGCACGCTGACCCTTCTTGATTGTGGCGGCCAGGGGTCCGAAGGCATTGAGGGGGTCGTGGCAGGAGACGCCTGCCTGGGACGGGGCTGGCACGCTCCCCGTCCTGGGGGTGCTTGCGACCGTGACCGCAGTCTCAGCGGGTCCCTTCTGCTCCCCAGCTCCTCCGCCGGGTATGCTCGTGGCCAGGGGGGTGTTGGTGGCCTTCGCCGCCAACCTCTTCTGCTTCCCGTCACCAGGGCCACCAGCTTTCCCTGGTAAATCTCCTCCTCCGACGGGGGCACGTCGGCGACGCCGTCGACGGGCGGGACGAATCAGGCATCCCGGGAGAGTTCTCGGCAAGGTGCGCGGAGGAGAGGACCATCCTGGGAAGAATTAGGTCCCCGCCCATCCGCGTCGCCTTTCGCGCCACCCATCGTGTCGGGTGACTCCGACTGAGCAGACCGTGGGGGACGCCGAATAGGTGTACCGACGGAAGAAACGTGGGGGGGACACCGAATAGGTGCACCGATGGGTAATAGTGAGCCTTCCCGGCAGCCAGGGCGCATTCCGTACCGGAAGCGACCCAGCGCGCAGAGAGCCTGTTGCAGCCTGTTGGGGGGAACATGCGAAGTAAGGCGGCGTCGTGTCGGCCAGGGTCCTTGGTGCCCCCACCGCGCAGAGTACAAAACCTGGCCCAGGCCGCACTGGGTTCACCGTCTGCTCGCTGTATCTTCTTGATTGTGGCGGCCGCGGCTTCGATGGCATTGAGGGGGTCGTGGCAGAAGACGCCTGGGGTGGGGGGCACTGCGGTAGTCCTAGGTAATCCTCGGTGCTAGCGGCTAGCGTTCGATATCTCCTTCGCCTGGGGGACTCGTGGCCGGGGGGTAGTTGGTGGTCTTCGCCGCCAACCACGTCGGCTTCCCATCTCCAGGACCACATGCCTTCCATGGTAAATCTCCGACGGGGGGGCACCTCGGCGAGACCGACGACGGGTGGGGCGAGTCAGGCGTCGCGGGGGAGCTCTCGGCAAGGCGCGCGGCGGCGAGCGGAGGAACATCCTGGGAAGAATTGGGCCCCGGTCCATGCGCGTCGCCCTTAGCGCCGCCGCGCATGTCGGGGGACTCCGAATGAGTAGACAGGGGGGGGTGCCGAGTAGGTGTGCCGACGGGAGAAACTGGGGGGGTGCACCGAATAATAGGCGCACCTGTGGACAAGAGTGAGCCCTCCCCGCAGCCAGGGGCGCAACCCGTACAGGAAGCACCCTTGCGCGCGAAGGGCCTGCTGCAGCCTTCCTGAAGCGGTGCAGCCGCGAGAGACTCAGGGCGGCGACGAGGCCAGGAGGTGGAGGAAGCTGCGAAGGAAGGCGGCGTCGCGTCGGCCTGGGTCTCTACTGCCCCCACCGCGCTGAGAACAATACCTGGCCCAGGCCGCGCTGGGTTCACCGCCTGCTCGCTGTATCGTCTTGATTGTGGCGGCCGCGGCTCCGTTGGCTTTGAGGGGGTCGTGGCAGAA